GGCAGATACATCGAATGCAAGACCTAAGTGCTATGAATCGCAGTGAGGAACTATTGGTCAGTGACAGTGGTGATATCTTACCAATAAACAATAATCAATTACTAGAAAACAAGTAAATAAATCGTAGTATTTCTTTTCCTTAAAAAAAAGGAACATATGGAAGAGTTGCAGTCGTCTTACTTTTTCTTGATTTCACCGGCCATGGTTAAGAAAGCCTGCTCCACATTAATTGAATCTTTAGCACTCGTCTCCAGAAAGGGAATCCCAAGTTCATCTGCGAATGCCTGCAGTTCATTGAACAACAAAATTGCAAATTAATCAAGCTATGATGCCTGCAGTAAATTATCTCATCAGTAGCAGCAGGTTGCATTTGTTCATCCGATTTGTTATTTTAACAATCAATATCCACTTGCTTTGAAAAGAGAGGAACATCTCTGGAAGATAAGAGAATTAACCAATGATAAAAGTTTAAACATTAAAAGCAACAAAACATACCTTCGCTGTTTGCGTGTCAACAACCTTGTTCTCAACTAAATCACATTTGTTGCCAACAAGAAGCTTGCATACACTGTCATTAGCATATCTGTCGATCTCATTCAACCACTGCTTGACATTATTGAAGCTCTCCGTCTCAGTAACATCGTAGACAATCTGTTGCAATCCCAATACGCAAAAGGATATTGAAACACTTAAGCAGAGAAAAAAAAAGTGAAATAGGAAAGTGATATGCTTAACAATCATTTCACAAGAAAAAACATCACCTTGTTTTGAGTTCTTCGATATGCTAAGATTTGAAGATTTCTTAAAAAGTAAATCCCTTCTTTCACAAATTGAGAAATACAGGATAAGACAGGTAGTTTTGGGTTCGCATAGCAATTTGCATGTTGAAACAAAATCCAGAATATTGAATTAATGTTTCTTGTATTTGCAAGAATATAAATCAATTAAAAGATGATGAAATTTGTTTGAAACACACCCCAAACCCATACCAAGGTCTAATTTGATAAATTTTTATGATTTACAAAACAGTCTGGTTCAGTTTCTTACTATTATCCCATGAGCTCCTCGGTAATAACTGCTCGTGATAGTCCTAAAACGCTCCTGTCCAGCAGTATCCCACTAAAAAAATAAGAGTAAAATATTACATGTTAATAGAGATCCAACTGAAAAAGGGAGGAAACAATATTTTAGGGGAATGATGCATGGCTCTTCCTTGCACATTTTCCCAACACTAGACAGCCATGGTCAACTGTCAGGGAAAAAGAAATTGGATTAACAAATTAAACCTGTCCTATAAACACCATCAACACCATCCCATTGACCACAACTAAAATTCCTGCATGAGTTACACAATTTAACTCTCTTTTCAGTTGCATCAATACTTAGGTTAGTTTAACCATGCAAACCCTCACTTCCTATTGAACTCATAAGTAAAGACAAACATCCGATACTGAAAAATATGGTACTGTTCAACCACATAATCTATGTTGTGGCGTATTATTTCTTCTATGAAACCAGCAGTTTGAGTCGAGAGTCTCACAATTCAAACCAGCAGTTCGAGTCGAGAGTCTCACAATTCAACTAGCTTTACTGAATGGAACGTATAATTATGAAGTTCCAAACAATGCTAATTGAACAAGTTTTGAGCAGAAAAAAAAAACTTCAAAACAACAATTACAGGCCTAAATGAGCATGATCCCAAATACCTAGCACCACTTTCTTTGAAGAAACATGTTTATACTCACAATTTGAAGCTTGATTGTCTTTCCATCCTGCTCCACAGTTCTGATTTTCTAAATATAAACAATTAAACAAAATAAATTATCACATTCTTTAATACATGAAACAAACTTACATGCATTTGTGCGACAGAGAGAAAGAAACTCACGAAATCAACACCGATGGTACTGATGTAGCTATCCACGTAAGAATCATCCTGGAAAGATTAAAGAGGGGGGAAAAACACTTAAATTCCTTAGCTCCTAATTAAACTTGAGATTAGCCTTAAAATCAATCTCATCAATCACTATTCTTAATTAAACGATAAAAAATTAACTAAAAAGCAAACTGACGATGTCAAAACAAGTAAAAATAAATAAATGAAAAGCAAATTTAAATTTAGAAAAAAAAACAATAACAGATACAAGAAATTAAACTTACAGCGAATCTGAGAAGCAAACAGGATTTCCCGACGGAGGAGTCACCGATAAGCAGAAGTTTGAACAGATAATCGCTAGAAAAAATATTAAAAAAATAAATATATATGGAGAGACAAACGAGCAAATATTCAACTTTTTAAGAACAAATGCAAGTAGCAATATACAGAAAATTAAAAAAATTAAAGATTAAGGCTCACTATTCGTTGCTCATGTTGAGATCCAAAAGACTTGAAGATTTTTGAGGCGTAGTGTTGAGCACAGAGGAAAATTCGTGTCAACACAGATGTTTTCTTTCGATCACCGCTCTCTATCAGTCTATCCGTCTCATCTACATTTTTTTTTATGTGTTTATGCCCAAATAAGTTATCAAACTGTAAATTTTTTTTTGCCAAATAAGTGTATACATTTTTTTAATAGGTATCTAACGTTACAAATATTTATCCTTTAAGTGTTCGGACTCAACGGGATTAGTTATTATTTTTAAGTGACACATGTCATAATCTGATCATTTTGAAATTTATTTTAAAAAATATTAAAAATATTATTATGTTTATAAAAAAAACTCATAACTTTTCTTATATCATAAAACAATCTCAAAATCTCAAATTCTAATCTTAATATGTTGTCGCTGCCCTCTCTGGTCACGGCCACTACCACCAACGTAATCTTTGCAATCATCTTAGTTATATATCATCGTATTTGTTGTCGATTCACCATCAGAGTCGCATGGGATCGTAGTTTTCATCCTAGGGTTTGCGGGATTTAAAATGTCAATTTATCTTCGATCAGTCGTCGCTGAGGGGAGAGGAGGTCAGGTACAACTTCTTTGACGGCGAAAGACGGCGGTCGACGTGGGTTTAAGGGTTGAAATGAAATTTTTCAAAATTTATGTGTTATTTCAAAATTTATGTGGTTTCTTTTTAAAAAGTATATAATTTTATTTTTTAAAATTTTATATAAAAATTTTAAAATTACCATGTTATGATACATGTCACTTAACAGGGAAAACTAACGTTGTTGACGGTCCGGTCATCTAAAGTGCAAACGTTTGTAATTTTAGGCAATAAGATGAGTAAAAAAAATGTAGGCACTTATTTGACACGAAAGGTATAGTTTGAGCACTTATTTGGGTATTAAGTCTTTTTTTTATTAATTACTAGGGTAAACTACAATGCTAATCACTAAAATCTTAAGAATGTTTTACTTTGATAATTGAAATCTAAAATTTTTCGACAGAATAATTGAAATTAAAAAATGCTTTCATTTCAATTATTTTACGTTAAAAGCTAAGTCATAGTGTTCACTGTTGGAAAAATATACTAGAAAAACGAATTGTTAGCACTCACTGAATATTAATAAAATTAAAATAAATAATATAGAATAAATCGTGTCGTGGTATAAATCCACTGTCTTAGAAACAATTTTACCTTGATAAGTGTAATCATTGCAATAGATGTACGTCTCCTCATGTTAACACTGTACCTCCAAAAATTCATACACTCGATGTCGAAGTGAACAATGGTGGAATTGATCTTCGGTGATCTTTTGAGAGAACTTTTAAAAGAGATAAATGACTTTCAATTGTTGGATGATTGAAAATGAGAAAAAACATCTCTATTTATAGGCTTCAAACATGCTTCAACGTTGGATGATTAAATGTTGTAATTATATTGCTGTAGCTGGCTGAACCTGGCCTCAAAACTCTTCATGTTCATTCGAAAGATAGTCGTTGAGACAGCTATTAAATCAACAAACAAATTGTTAAAATCAATCTCTGAAAATTATATTTTTGTTTACTATAATAAAGATTCGAACCTAGCCCTAAAATCGTTTAGGTTCAATATGTGAAAAAGTCAAAATCAAAATCAACAGCTAGCACAGTTGTTAAAACACATCAGATTAATTTTCGTATTTTCATCAATCATACAGATAATTCTAGCGATTAATTTGACCGATTTAAAAACTTATTTAGCTTATTAATACGTTTTAAAAATTCTCATTTCAGTTCTACAAACATTAGAAATTTTTCTATATTATCTTTAAAAAGATAAAACACGTACAACATGTCAAGAATAAATATTATCAAGACCACAAGCCAACCAAACTGCAACAACGCGATTGCAAGGAAGTACTTTATCCACATTCAATAAGGAGGAGAAAAAGAGTCCATTTAAATACCTTTCACAAGGGATATTTCCTTCCAATGTGGGATACAACACCCATACATATATGAGTATTACCAAAGCCAACGAATCAAACAATTTCAGTTGTTAAGTGACTTGTTATTATATATATATATATATATTACTCATCTTCTTGTGTGTTTTTAGTTTTATTAAAATAAATTAAAATAATTTTTATAAGATTACTGTAATGTATTTTAACCAATGATAATTAATGTTATAAATATAATTTTATAATATTTTTGTACGTTATATTAGAATTAATATATATTCATAAAAAGAACTTAATAATTTTCAAATCTAGTTTAACTTAAATATTATTTATGTTAATTTTATAAAAAAATATCAAGTTGGGTATAATGATGAAGCATTAAATTTCTGTAAGGTCTCAATATCATATTTGATTTATTTTTTATTGTCAAATAAGATTGCAATATTTGTATATATATTGCATTTAATTTACTACAAGTTTAAATTTTAATATTGTGATAGAAAATAATTAGAATAAAAGGTCACATAGTACTTAATTTGAATTAGTCGAGTAATAAATGAATTCCGGTGGTGCTAAATAATATAAATTATAGAGATTTAAAAAAAATCATGAAATACCCCACCCAAAAAGAAGAAATGAAGATCAGAAAGCGTAGAACTGATATCTTTATTATAATTTCTGCAGTTCTGATATCTCAGATCAAAGAAATGAAGATCAGAAAGCATGCATGCATGCATGGCAATTTGCACTGCAATAGTGCTATGCTTTCCTATTTTCCTTTGAAATTAATATATAGATTCAAACAAAAAAGGGATAATTCCCCACGAGATAACATCAATTAGCAATATGACAGAATTTGTATGATCATCACTCAGGGCAGAACGGCCTCTCCAAGCTTTCCTTATGGCTAGGGATTCTGAAGTGTCTAAGCCTCCCTTCTTGCTTTTTCATGTACCCTTCACACAGAAATGCCATGGAGAATTTGTCTTCGACGGCTCTGTTCACATCGTGGACAAACACGTCAGTCTCACCTTTATCTTTATTCCTCGCCATCATACCCGCGGTGTATATGGCGTTCATCCTCCCCGGGGCGTCCTCGTGGTACCCGGTCGGGGCGTCTACCATTATCAAGTCCCATTTCATCTCGTGAACCACACTCGGCAAACCTTTCAATGCAAGTTGGCACATTGAGTATTTAGGGTCGACGATCGCCGTGCATTCGGGTCCTCTACCTACGTCCATGAGATTATCGGCTTGGTTCACCTTGCTGTCATATGTGACATGGTAGGATTCTAGTATGGGAAACCGACGTCGGATTTGCTCGATCCAAGCCTCGTCTTCTTCGAGGAAAACCGTCCGTCCGCCGTAGTTGAGCGAACTCCACATAAGGCTGTCGTGGCCTAGGCCGAATATTAGGAAGTTGCACGGTGACTTTTTCTCTAGGATTTTCGCCGTGACCGAGATCTCTTTCCACGTTTGCTGTGGAGTGATACTTGAAGTCGCGTAGTGGATGAGAGCTTGGGCGAGAGTACGCGATATCTTGTCACACAACGGCGAGCAATCAGCTGTGCTTTTGCTTTGTTTGACAGCACTAGATGTTCTAGCTGGTGCAGGAGTTCGTAACGTGCTCCTAGACAATGTGTTTTCTTTGGAAGACGACGATAAACTCGATCTCAACACAAAAAGGAGGAGAAAAGCAAAGAAAACCCCCAAAAGGAGGACCTTAAAATTGAGGGCTTGACTGGTCTTAGGCCTCATGTTTTGTCTGAAATGTTTGAAACAAACAAATATTACGAGAAACTCAAGAACTGGTTTGGCCCTTTGTCCCTTTCTGATATTTTAAACAAAAATGGTGGTACTACAGGGTATGATATTTGGTTTCATTGTGCTTTGAAATGAAGGAACATCAGATACTTGATGAAGACAAAACATCTGCAAGGATTGTGAATGAAGCAACACTGTGGTTGGCACATCTACAAGTTTGGTGGATTTCATTAAATTAGGGTTCTTTTGTTTCTGTTTGGGATTTAATGGATTTGACATGGTTACTGTCTTAATACCCAATTTGTTGCTTTATGAGATCATTCATTTTTAAGGTGTAACAGCAATGAATGATTAGGGAAGCCTTAGTTTTCAGAATTTGGTAGTTGAATGACCTGTCAAACAATGATAGGTTATTGTGTTATTGAAACTGACATGGAAGTTAAATTTTCTATTTCGGTTGTTAAATTCCCAAGGCAGGTGATCAAACGAATGGAAGCTTTCCTGATATCCAAACTCGATTCGAAATCAAAATTGATAAAATCGGACTCGCTCGAATTAAATCGAATCAGATGAAGCTGATAACCTGTCATTGGAATAAGCAGATGATATCACATTGGTTAGTGATAGATATGCAATTGTGCCTTGTACAGAAAGCAAGACAGTTCACTGCAATAGAAAGTAGTGCATTGGTGTGTGACTTGCTACCTTGCCGGATAAAAATATCCACTGAATCAAGTGATATCAAAGGTGAAATCCTTTTAAACAAGGCCCGTAAGATTCGAGAAAATTCGAGATAATGATTCGACCATTAACGAAAAAAATTTGCAGTGATATGTATCAATCTATACGAAGGCTATTTTAGCTGTACAAAGCATAGTTCTGAAAGTTGGAAAATCACAGGCCTCTACCTACGGTAACAACAAAATGGCCTGTATGCAAGTTTCGAAGATAAATCACCAATTCACCAAATAGCAATCAATATTGTCAGTCGTCCGATCGGTGGAGGGGAGGGGAAGGGGGGTAGAACTGACTGAACTTTAGCCAGAAAGGTTGTCCTTGTTGCTGGGTCGAAAATCCATGAGAATTTCATGCTTATTGAACATCATCTGGTAGCAAGACTTGTCGAACCTCCAAAAGAAAATAATTCTTCCTAATATCTATTCTATGATACACTGCTGAGCTTCTCGGCCGGAGTGGAAGCTTCTTACCGGTTTGTCTCCTGCCTTTTCTCAGGTGTTAAAGTAACGATTCAGTCTGTCCATTGTGATCAAGGTTAGTTCTCAATTTTGTCTTGTCTGAACGAGCTTTGCGGAAAGCATTCTGAATCTGTCTCTCGTGCTCTTTAAGCATTTCCTCAAGGTTCCCTCCACGAGGCAACAATGGTCCAGAATAATGGATTTGGTTATTCATGGAAACATAGCCCTAGATTCACAGACAAGTGTTAGCAACTCCGACAGTTGAAACTGATAAATTTTTTTGTTCATTATGCTACGAATATTGTAAAAGAAAATGTTATAAACTATGTTATTTGCCAAGAATTCGCTTTTAGCTTCAATTTTCATGGATTTCTAGGAAATGATCATCACATAAAAATCTTACATTCAGAAATCAATTGTCACAAGAATGGATGTTGAATCTATCAAAGAAGGAAAAAAAAACAGGATGTTTAGGATGAATGATAAAAACCGATTCTGTTTACCAATTTCCCTTACCACTGCTGCTGATTCCTTGGAAGATGGTTGTTCATCCTTCACATTCGAACCCTTTGGCCTATTGAGTAAATGACGGGACAATTCATGCTTTTCAGACGACTCCGCATTACCCAGAAGGTTATATCCAGCATTAAAATGCTCCTCTGGCCAGTGAGGATTTATGTTATTCTCTTTCGTCATATCAAACCGTGAACTACCCCTAACTGCAATTGAATTAGAAAATCTGGACAATTCCAATGTTGCTCGATGGACATGTAATGTTTCAGATCTCAACTCTTCAAGCTTCCTAGGAGAACCAAATCCTTGAGCTAATGCCTTCATAGACTCAATCTCATTCGTTTTCTTATTCCGTGAAGATCCAAATCTACTAGGTTGCATTGAACGGCCCGAATGAGAGTTGTATAAAACTCTTTCTGCTTCTTTCGAAGGCTCAATAGGGAAGGCAGCACCCCTGCCTTCTTGAGAGTAGCATACTTCACTGACACTTTTTCCATTGAACTGTCCTCGCCGCTTCTGTATCAAGCAACATAGTAAACATCAGTTCTGACCAAAAGACTGATATTGCATTGGAAAGTGTTCAAACACCACGATCATAAGCATATGCAATGCGCAAAAGCAAATAAATCTTGCAAGCTAGAAAGTACCTGTATGGATGTTTGTAACTCAGCATTGATATCTGGGGCAGGAACAGCTATAGATTCTCTTGAAACCCTTCTAACAGGATCACGTGCATGTACTTTTCCACCAGAAGCTCTTTGCCTGGTTTTCCAGTTAACAAACAGGAAGAACAATTGTTTTATACCTTTTCTAGGGGAAATTTAGATAGCAAGAACATAATCAACAAAACAAACCACGAGTCAATTTGAGAATTTCACCTCTTTCATGTACAAATGACAATATAACCCAAACCAGTTGGGTTAAGCTATCCTCGCCCAACCCTTTAGAGCCTTTTTCTTTCCGGAAAATTGGCTCACGAGATGGGGTTGATTTTAGATCAAACCTTACCCTCCAGCAGTGAAAAGTTTATCAAATACCTCTTTTAATTTTAGAATAATTCAAACTTTTATAAAAACATTTGAATTTTTTTATATATTGTAATTAACATAATATAAAAGATTTATGTGATATTCTGGGACAGGTAGAATTGGATTCTGGAGAGTTTTTCTTTTTTTTGGGTCGGATGTCGGATTTAGTCGTTCAAGTTTTTTTTTATTTTAAAAAAGGGTTGGGGAGGAGTCAAGGAAGAAGATATACAACTATACAAGTCAGGTCAGTGTCTGACCTTGCAAAAAACAGCCCCACCGCACTCGGTTGCTATCCCTACTTTCTTGTGGGGGAGAGATCTTAGTAAGTTCAGTTTCTTTCCTTGTTATTTAATTAGCCATCAAAGATTATGTTTAGGATGTGAGCCAAAAATATCATGATTTTCGTACTTCGACACAATGTCAAATGCAGATCGCAAAGAAGTTACAAAACCTTCCAGCATAATGAACTAAATGACCAGAATATCGGTTAACGTTTAATAAGCCACAATACAATTTTCACACAACATTGTTTAAACATTGATGAGATAAAAAATCTAATACAAAGTAGGAGCAGATAATACCTTCTAGATTCCTCTTCTCGAAGCTTGACATCAAACTCCTTACTAGGTGGATACTTCGGCAAACTAGATGGATCACAGGGAAGAGGCTGTGCTGTAAAGAACTGGAAGGAAAAACTATTGAGTTAAAACAAAATTACTAAAATGAAATATGGTCAATAAAAAGAATGTTAAGAAGACAAGTAAGAAGGATGAAAAGGTAGGATAATCATAGGCGGCCAACATTGTTGACATTTTAATGAACTACCCAGCAGGGCCAAGACACAAGCTGTGCAGCAACAATTTCATAGTTGAAATATCGAACATGTTATTTCTCAAGTAATCATAAGCAACCAACATAGTTGACATTCTAATGAAGAACTACCCAGCTGGACCAAGACACAAGCTGTGCAGTAAGTCAGTAACAATTTATCGAACATGTTATTTCTCAAATAAGAGGAAGAAATGAAGAGTGCCAATGAACCAAACAAACTGGGCAATTATAAAGATGCGACTGATAACATTTCAAGCACAAAGAAAGGCTTCTTGCTTATTATAAACAAGATATGCTTTCCATTCTTAGCAAGTTAACCAAACGGTATATTTGAATTCCCAACCAAGACAAAACATTACAAGTCAAATAGTTAATTGGCCCTTAGTCTTGGTTTGGTAAATACTTGTTCCAAGTTCATTATACAATTGTAGATGGCACTAGCGTACGGGTTCATGAAATGAAAGGAACTAAATGTACACTCTCCCCCTGTTCTCTCATTTCTTCTCGAAAATCGCTCCCACTTATCTCTTCCTTTCTTCTTTTTTACTTCTTGCTCACTGTTTCTTAGATACTATCCATATTCCATATGGGATTGCATCTGAATAAGGGCACTCTTATGAAGATTGTGAATGGTAATCTGTTCAAGCCAACGAAATCGGGGTTAAGACTTTGGAGGATTCCATTCTCTTTTTTCTTGTATAAGAAAACTCACCAACATAAATAGTTCTCAAGGAAATCAGTTGAACTAACAGACAGATTGATCCCCAAAAAACACAGTAAATAAGGTAACAAGTAACAACTAAAAGAGCTTTGTTCTTGATGAAAAATTCACACCTTTGAGGAATACCATATTAACTTTACCTCACTCTGAAGTGCTGAAGAAGCAGTTCCACGACACTCGGGTTCTATTGCAAGAAGAACCTCCAAAAGGACCAAAGCAGATGCAGGGAAGTCCTTGAATTTCTCGGGAACACAACGTTTATAGGGTTGTTGAGGTTTGAAAATGGTTGCATGTGGCAATTTTGATCGCTTCCAATACTCTTCAGAAGGTGATCCACAGAGTTTGAAGATTTTATGCAGTTGTTCAACCTAAAAAGGAGAAATGATCAAATGTCACACGCCATAAATTAAACCACAAAGCTCAACTGCAAGTGTACCGCAATAAGTTTCATATAGTACATTCTGGCTCAGATCCAGAGTACACATTCATAATGAAAATTATATGGATAAATGTTGAATAACTAGTAGTGCATCAGTTAAATCATGGTCCAGTAAATTATCAACTAAATTAGATGACCTCTGCTGTGTATATAGAGTATGTCTACACCAGCAAAACCCCCTCCCCCAAACCACCTTAAAAGTAAAAATAGACCCAACAGAAACACATAATGAGCAAATAATTGGCAGTTAAATAAATGGAACATGAAATGACAACCAAATTATGTACCTAGATCATTGCAGAGTGCTACTAGTATGACTTGAAGATTAAATTTTGGTATCCAGGTCTACCAATGTAATAATATCAAAAAGGGACCCAAA